AGGACCCCCCCCTGCCCCCGGGGCCCTAGGACCGCCCAACCCTCACCCCTTCTGGAAGCTTCCGGCCGTCTGCACCAGAAGGTGGTTCTGTCCGGCCCTCAGGACACCCCACACGGCGGACAGGGAGAAGCTGCCTCAGTGGGGGGGCGGTGGGATGGGGCACAGGAAGGAAGAGGGGTGGGAGGGTCTCGGGCCTGGGAGTTGAGAAACAGCTGTCCAGGACATACTCACTGTCTGTGGCTTACAGACACTTAACGAGTGTCACAATTGCAACCGCCGTTGTTTCGAGTTCACGGAAAGTCAGTTCCTCTTTGCCAGAGAGCCCCACGGTGTCCCTTTCTCCCTCCGGACCACCTGGCACGGGCACGGGGCGGGGGTGTCACCCCTCATCTCAAGGTGCCCCTGGGCTGCCCTGGGTCCTGGGAAGTGGTTTCCCCACTGGGCCGGGCCCACCTGAGGTTACTCTCTGCTGTCCAGCCCTTCTGATGCAGTATCTTCCTGTAGAATCGGGATAGATTTATGTTATTTTTTCTGTGTGTGTGTGTGTGTGTGTGTGCATAACATAACACGTGGCGTGTGACCATAACATGCAGCTTGCTGGAGTGACATGGAACCTTCTCTGGTGGCCAGCCCGGCTCTCCACCCCTCCCCCCTCCCCCCAAGGTTGATTCTGAATTTCTCCTCCTCTCGCTTCCTGCCCGGCCCAGGCCTGACCCAGATCCCTCAGATCCAGAAGACGGAGATCTCCTTCCGCCCGCTGGACCCCAAGAGCTACGAGCAGTACGTGAGGAGTATTGTCCGCTTCCTGGACAAGTACAAGGACGCGGCCCAGAAGGATGACATGATCTTCGAGGACTGCGGCAGTGAGTCTCGGCGGCTGGTGGGGGACGGGGCGGGGGGAGGGGGGTCCCCGAAACAAACAGGGCTGGTTGCGCGGGCTTGGTTCCTTCTGAGGACTGAAAGGGCGTCTTCACTTCGCCAGCCACCGAGGGCGAATCACCTTTGGGGGCCAGGGGGGCCCAGTGAAAATAATTCACACGACCGTTAAGAAACGGTGCCGTCTGCGACCCGCCCTGTGGGATGCTTCCGTTCAATCCTGGGGGGCTTGATTTTAGCTCTTCTTTGGCTCCCAGAAGAAGGTGTAGCTGTATTTTATTTTTATTTTTATTTTTATTTTTTTGCTTTTTGGGTCTCACCCGGCGATGCTCAGGGCTGACTCCCGGCTCTGCACTCAGGGATCACTCCTGGCGGTGCTCGGGGGACCCTAGGGGATGCCGAGGATCGAACCCGGGTCGGCCGCGTGCAAGGCAAACGCCCTCCCTGCTGTGCTATCAGTCCATCCCCAGAAGGCACAGCACTGTAGCACTGTCCTCCCGTTTCTCATCGATTTGCTCGAGCGGGTTCCAGTAACGTCTCCATGGTGAGACTTGTGACTGTGTTTGGCATCTCGAAGACGCCACGGGGAGCTTGCCAGGCTCTGCCGTGCGGCCGGGATACTCTCGGGAGCTTGCCGGGCTCTCCGAGAGGGGCGGAGGAATCGAACCCGGGTCGGCCGTGTGCAAGGCCAACACCCTCCCCGCTGTGCTGTCGCCCCGGCCCCAAAAGACGTAGCTTCACCCCCCGCAAATAACCCGCCGTGTTGTGGGGCTCTCCCCGGGGTCCCCCTGCAAGCTCCAACCCCTGCTTTTCCCTGGCCTCCCGGTCAGTCGGGGTCGGTCAGTCGGGGTGTGGCGGGTGCTCCGGTTTCCCTGCTGGTCTCCGAGTTATGTGTTATTTGGAGGAGGGCAGGGGGAGGCCCTGGATCTTGGGGGGGGGGGGTGCTGTGCGCTGACGTTGCCCCCCCCCAGGCGTGCCCAGCGAGCTGAAAGAAAGGGGTGAGTACAACAACGAGCGCGGGGAGCGCAAGGTCTGCCGCTTCCGCCTCGACTGGCTGGGCAACTGCTCGGGCATCAACGACGAGAGCTTCGGGTACAAGGACGGCAAGCCCTGCGTCATCATCAAGCTCAACAGAGTGCTGGGGTTCAAGCCCAAGGCAAGCGGGGCGCGGGCGGGGCTGTGTGTGGGGGGCGGGGGGGCGGGGAGGGCAGCTCGGCCCGGAACCCAGCCTCAGTTTCCCCGACTCGGCCTGGACCCACCTGGACCTCCCTGGAGTCAGGCGAGGAAGACTGAGGGGCTGAGAGCAGCGGCCGCCCCTCTCCCTGCAGGGGCCCGTAGGGGAGGGGCCTGGCTGGGGGTGGGCCCCGTGTCCCCAACATTCCCGCTCTGTGAGCACACGCGGCGTCGTCGGTGGGCTGCATGCTAGGGACAGATGCCCCTTGGGCTTATCTGCTGTTGCTGGGCGGCCATGGGGCCCCCAGGGGGAACTTAGATTTTTCTGAAACTAGGTAGTTTTCAGGTATTGATTGATTGATTGGTTTTGCCTTTTGGGTCCCACCCGGCGATGCTCAGGGCTGACTCCTGGCTCTGCACTCAGGAATCACTCCTGGTGGTGCCCGGGGGACCCTATGGGATGCCGGGGCTCGAACCCGGGTCAGCCACGTACAAGGCAAACGCCCTTCCCGCTGTGCTGTCACTCCAGCCCCAAACCCACTGATTATTTTTTTTTTTTGCTTTTTTGGGTCACACTTGGCAGTGCTTAGGGGTTCCTCCTGGCTCTGCAGTCAGGAATGGCTCCTCGCAGTGCTCAGGGGACCCTGTGGGATGCCGGGGATCGAACCTGGGTCAGCCACACGCAAGGCGAATGCTCTCCTGGTGCCCTATTGCTCCAGCCCCAAACCCACTAATTTTTTTTTCTTTTTGGATCACACCCAGTGATGCTCAGGGCTGACTCCTGGCTCTGCACTCAGGAACACTCCTTGCAGTGCCTGAGGAACCCTATGGGATGCCGGGGATCGAACCCGGGTCGGCCCATGCCAGGCCAACGCCCTCCCCGCTGGGCTATCATTGCTTTGACCCCCACAAGATAGTTTTCATTGAACCAAAGCTTGCTGAGAAAAAGACGTGGGGCGAGATGTGTGTCCAAGAGCAGACGAGGGCTTCCCTGGAGTGGAACCAGGCGAGCAAGGGAACGGAGACCCCCCCCAAGCCAGGTCACGGGGGGAGCAGGGCGCCCGCCTCCACGCCCCCACCCACAAGCAGGTGCTCCCTGCCCCCACGCCAGGCCCGTTCCTGGTGCTGGGATTACGCTCACCCGCTGCCCCCCCCACGGGGTGTCTGTGTCAGAGACCCCCAAAGGACCTCCTGAGTCCCCCCCCCCCCCCCGGGTGGCACAGAGAAGGCGCCTCTGACATTAGGGCCCCCGTTCCCACCCGGGAAACGGTTCTGTCCTCAGACGGGGTAACCCGAGACGGGTTTGATTCTTTTCCAGCCCCCCAAGAATGAGTCGCTGGAGACCCCTCTGCTGAAGTACAGCCCCTACGTGCTGCCCGTCCAGTGCGCCGGGAAGGTAAGGGGGGCCCGGCTCCGGGCATGGGGAAAGGGGGATGTGGTCGGGGTAAGAGAGGCCGGAACAATCTAGAAAGCTAAGCCCGAGCCCCGTGAATCTGCAGCGGCTCTCACACGTTGCGGGGGTCTCCTTGGACTCATGGAGGGGGGACCCCCAGGCCACCCTCCAACACAGACCCACTGGGTTAGAGACCGCCCTTCCGGAAACTTCTCTGGGGGGGCTGGTGGGCGCGGCGGGACCCCCCTCACGCTCTCGTTTCCCTCGGGCTTCCAGCGAGACGAGGACAAGGACAAGGTGGGGACCATCGAGTACTACGGGCTGGGCGGCTACGCGGGCTTCCCGCTGCAGTACTACCCCTACTATGGCAAGCTCCTGCAGCCCAAGTACCTGCAACCTCTCCTGGCGGTGCAGTTCACCAACCTGACCATCGACAGCGAGGTCCGCATCGAGTGCAAGGCCTTCGGGGAGAACATCGGCTACAGCGAGAAGGACCGTTTCCAGGGACGCTTTGACGTGAAAATCGAAGTGAGGAGCTGATCGTTCGCAAGCACAAAAACCCGTTCCCACTAGCCATTCAAAAACCGACAGAAAAGTTTAAAAAATAAAAGAGAAAGATTACAAAAAAAAAACCCAAAAAAACCAAAAAAAAAAAAAAAAACCACCACTAAAAAAACCAGACACCTCCTTAGTCTTGAACAAAAACTGTCATTACGTATGGGACCTACACTTTATTCAGCTTTCCACTAGCTCTTCTGCATCTACTAGGTTAGAATGTAAATTCCAAGTGTAGCAATAGCAGGAAATATTTATTCTACTGTAAATGACAAAAGAGAAATTAAAAAAAAAATTGAGCCTTGGGGCGTGCCCATTTTTACTGTAAATTGATTCCATTAACTGACCTGTAGTGAGCGAACGTCCCCCCCACGTAGACCCCTTGCTGCTTTCTGGAGGGGGACCCCGACTGCCCCTCCACCCCGTCCTCCTCCAAGCCATGTTGACTCCTCTCTGTTTTCTACTTGGTGTGAGCCCGAGTTACTGTCCTAGGTGTAAATATTCAGCGGGAGATCGAACGGGCCCCGGGCCGCGCCGTCCCCCGTGGGTGGCGCTCGGCCCCCCCGCGAGTGACCCCCGTGGACATCCACACTCCATTGTCTGGCCTTGTGCTGTGTCTCCTCTCTCCTGGGACTGGGGTGGGCGGGTGGGCGGGCTGTCATGGGGAAACTGCCCTTTCGATTTTAAGTGAAAAATTCCGAAAACTAAGGTGATGGCTTGTCTTGGTCTTGTGCTTATCCCTGGCGCGCTGTTCCCATCCCTGACCCGCGCCCTGGCACCAGCTGGGGACTCGCTTCATTGCCTTTCCTCCTTCTTCTTCTTTTTTCTTTTTAAACCCTCTTTACCTTGTTTTTTTTTTTTCTTCCCTGAACGCATCAGTCGCTGGTGCTGTGTCTTTATGAATGTTTTAACCATTTCCATGGTAAAAAGAATTTTATATTTATGCAGTTGTACAATTTTATTTTTTTTTCTGCAAGAAAAAAAAGTGTAATGTATGAAATAAAAAAAAAAACCAAAGTCACTTGTTTGAAAAATAAATCTTTATTTTGGACTTTATAAAAAAAAAAAAGCAATGCAGTAACCCCCTCCTTCCCCCCTTAGACCGCTATCGATGTTGTCTCCAGTGCAAAAACAAAAAAAAAAATCCATGTTCTCACATCTGTAACGATCCCAGCAGTGAGTACCCTCGTCCGTCTTGTATTCAGTCAGGTTAAACAATGGACAATAAAAGAATGAACCCACACCCCGTGTGTGCTTGTGTGGTCTCTCCAAACACCCCTGCCGGGACCACCGACTGGGCGGCTAATTATCCAAGATCTTGAAGAAATACTGAACCTGAAAGACAGAAGGGGGGGTGTCGGATTAAGGGCTGGGGTTTGGGGTCAGGCCAGGAGCACCTGCCCTTAGCCTGGGAAACGGGATTTCGAACCCCGGCCAGAGGCAGATTTGAAAATAACACCAGCGACAGCTTCTAGAAGCCCCACCTGGGTTCTTTCTACCAGGTTTGGTTGGTGCCTGGAAGTGCACCAAAAAACAGATTGGCCCTTGCTTTTTTTTTGGGTTCCTGGTTTGGCCTAGGTTCTTATCTCGCCAAGTTTAAAAACTAGACTTCGGGGCTGGAGCGATAGCACAGTGGGGAGGGCGTTGGCCTGGCATGCAGCCGACCCAGGTTCGATCCCCGGCAACCCAGAGGGTCCCCTGGACCCTGCCAGGAGTGGTCCCTGAGTGCAGAGCCAGGAGTCAGCCCTGAGCATCGCTGGGTGTAGCCCCAAAACAAAAGACGTAAAAAGCACCCAGTACGAGTGGGGTGGGCAGGACTCCTGGTTCCTTGCTCGGGCCAAGGAGTGACGAGGGCGATTCTGCAGGGCATCACCTGATCCCCACACCCGGCCCCGAGTGGTATCGCCTGGGCCCAGAGACCACCAGGGTGTGTGTCTCGCGCTCAGATGCGGAGCGCACGCGCGTCCTGACATCCAGAGGAAATCTTTTGTTTCCCTGAGTCCCTAGTCCCTCCCTGTCGCCTTCCTGGTCCCCAAGCTCAGCAATCCCCCCTCGCAGGGACCCAGAGATAAACATCTCGGCGGAAAACGGGCCCTGGGATGAAGGCGCTTGGTGTGCACGGGCCTTGCAGGGGGGAGCCCCGGGCCATGCGCCCCCCACCACGCAGCCCTGCCTCCACACTAAGGGCCTCCCCGTGCAGGAGAGGGGCCGAGGGGCCGGACCCCACCACAGCCACCAACACCTTGGGACGATGGGACCACCGGTGGCTGACAACTGTCCCCACCCCACAGATGGACGGACACGGTGACACTCGCCATGGGCAACCATCCCGGCTGCTGAACCTCCAAGGCCCAGGCGAAGACATGGGCCTGCACCCTAAGGCCCATGTCTCCTGCGTTCTCATCGTCCGTCTGTCTGTCTGTCTGAGGCGTTAAGGCCCTCTGCCTGGGAGGGAGCCTGCTGGGGGCCCGCTGGCACCGTCTCTCGGCATCAGGGAGAGGCAGGCCCGCGTTTCCCTGGACGGCAGCGCCTGGCCTGTACCCTCTGCTGCCCTCCGTGCCTGCGCGCGTCAGGGAAATGGGGCCTTGGGGCCCCAGGGTCTGCCTGACTCCCCGCTGCCTGCCTGCAGAAGTGGGGGTGGGGGTCCACGCACGCGGCTCTTGGGACCCTCAGGCCACGGGGTAAACGCCGCAAAGGCACCTGCCGGTGGGCGGGGAGGGGGGCTGCGGGGTCCCCGGGAGCCGCCAGAGTGCTGGTCCCGTCTCACAGGCCCTCTCGGGGCACTCGCCCTTCCCGAGACACTGGGGAAGGGACCGAGAGACAGACGGACAGACAGACAGATGGAAGGGCAGAGACAGATGAACAGACAGATGGACAGAGAGAGAGAGAGAGAGGCACAGGTGACAGGCGGACAGACGGACAGATGGATGGATGGACGGATGGACAGACAGATGGACAGACAGTTGGGTGGACAGAGATAGAGATGGATGGACAGACAGACAAACAGTCAGACAGACAGACACAGACACAGGCACAGACAGGTGGACAGACAGAAAGACAGAGATGGATGAGAGACGGACTGACAGACAGAAGCAGAGAGACAGGCAAAGATGACAGGCGGACAGACGGACAGGCAGGCAGAGACAGACGGGCGGATGGACAGAGATGGACGAATGGACGGACAGACAGAGAGACGAACAGACAGACGAAACAACAGATGAATGGACAGAGAGACAGACAAACAGACACAGAGAGACAGAAAGATGGACGGATGACGGATGGACAGACAGGTGGACAGACAGACAGGCAGACAGACGGATGGATGGCCGTGGCCTTGGTGAGACCCTCACCCTCCACAGGTCGGTCACCTGGCCGTTTCTGACCCCTCGGGCGCTGGTGGCCGCTCACGCCAGGTTACGGGCTGCTTCGGGAGCATAAAGGTGAGAGTTGCTGGCTTGGGGAACTGCATGTGTGACGCAGATGACACCAGCAGGGTCTGGGGATGCCAACGGGCCCATGGAAACTCACTCTTTCCCCAAGACAGACACAGTACAGGGCCGGGCTGCGGGTGGGTGGGCACTGAGGCATGAACCCCCGTTACGGCTGACGGGCTGGGACATGGCTGAGGGGGAGCTGGGGGGAACCCCAGGGACACATCATGGGTCAGGACAGTCCCTCGAGAGAAAAGGGAGAAACGGGGGGGGGGCGGGGACGGGAGGGGGCAGGAGGGATGCTGGGAACATCGGTGGTGGAGGGTGGAGGGATGGGCACACGAGCACGGAAGTTTGTAAGTCTGTAACTGCATCTCACAGTGATTCACTAATTAAAAAAAAAAAAAGGAGAACCGTCTCCCCGCCCGAGCGGCCATCTTGTGGGTGCTGGTGCCTTTGCACCGGGCATCGGGCCGCCCTCCTGCCGCGGTGCCAGCTCAGGGCCTTCCTCTGCCGGAGGGGGAGGGGGAGGCCGGCTCAGCCTTCCAGGGCTGAGTCAGCGGGTTCATGACCCGGAGACTGAAGGTCAGGGCCGGGGTGGAGAGTGGGTGAACCCGGGGCCTGGTGGTCGCCCCCGCCCTCCCCACTTCTGCTTTCTACCCAGAGACAGGCCCCAGTGGGGGACAGGGTCCTGGCGGGGACCCCTCGCGCAGTGCTCAGAGGCACCAGGCCCCTTTGCATCCCGGGCTTGCACTTTGGGGTTTTCGGGCTGGTCCCTGAGCGACCTTTGCCCTCGGCTGGTGGGGTGGCTGCCCCCCCCCCCCCCCCCGCCTGCTCTCCCGCACGCCCCACAGACTTTGGACCGTGCTGGGCTTGCAAAATAAAAAGAAAAGGGAAACCCCTAACGGGAACGGCTGTTCTTCCCAGAAAGCTTCTCAAGGTCCAGGTCTTGACAGGTCCGAGGACACGGTTTCCGCCTGTCATCAAGAAGGAACCAGCGGGAGAGTGGACTGTGGACCGAACATGATGGCCATCCAATGCCTCTTTTGCAGACCACAGCACCCCAAAGGAGAGAGAGAACAAAAGGGAACGCCCTGCCACAGAGGCAGGGCGGGGTGGGGGGGATGGGGGGTGGGAGGGATGCTGGGACCCGTGGTGGTGGAGGATGGGCACTGGTGGAGGGGTGGGTACTGGATCACTGTATAACTGAAACCCAAGCACAAAAATTTGTAAGTTTACAACTGTACCTCACGGTGTCTCACTAATAAAGATTTAAAAATAAAAAAAAAAAGAAGGAACCAGCGGAAGGAGGACTTTTCCCCCACAGGCACAGAGCAGACGCCTGTGTCCCTGAAGCCTGGACCCCGAGAGAAACAGGGGGAGGGGGCCCAGCACCCCGAGTGAGCACTGCCAGGAGGAGGCTGGAGCACCGCTGGGTGTGACCCCCAAATGAACGGCAAAAAAACGGAAGAAAACCGGGGGGCTGCTTGGGGCGGGGTTGGGGGGTATTGTACTGCGCCCCGAGCCTCACGCAGGCCCAGCTACTTCCTCCTTTCAGCCATGCCAGGAATGAGCGGGGGGAAGGGCTGGAGCGATAGCACAGCGGGGAGGGCGTTGGCCTTGCACAGGGCCGACCTAGGTTCGATCCCCGGCATCCCATAGGGTCCTCCAAGCACCGCCAGGAGCGATTCCTGAGCACAGAGCCAGGAGGAACCCCTGAGCACCGCTGGTTGTGATCCCAAAAGCCAAGTAATGAAAAAGAGGGGCTAGGGCGATAACACAGCAGGTAGGGCATCTGCCTTGCATACGGCCGACCCAGGTCCGATTCCCAGCATCCCATAGGGTCCCCCAAGCATCGCCAGGAGAGATTCCTGAGTGCAGAGCCAGGAGGAACCCCTGAGCATTGCCGGGTGTGATCCAAAAAGCAAAAAAAAAAAAAAAAAAAAAGAACAAGTAGGGGAGGGACAGGCGGGTGACCAGGACCCAGGTCCCGCCGAGCCAAGAACCCTAAAACGCTTGTGCAGACACATGGGGGCTTTGTCTGCATCCCCCCAGGCCCTGGAGCCCTGGGGGGAGGAGACGCAGGGGCAGGTGTGGCCCCCAACGCCCAGGACACCCTCCAGCACCCAGAGTGACACTGTGCAGGCCCAAGTGACCGGGGTGCAGCGGCGTTCCCGGGGCTGGCCAGGGCCCTCAACGCCCAGCAGACAGCGGGATCGGGTGACGCTAGCCGGGGCCGGGTCAATGTGTCACGGCTGCCGGGCGCAGGTTAATGTGTGACGAGCAGGAAGGGAACTTTGCACATGTGGCTTGCAGCAGTGGGTCCAGCATGGTGTGGGGCAGCCCCAGAACCTTCCTCCCGGGCCCCAACAGTGCTCAGGGGCTGAGACCCCTCTTTGCTCTCAGCCAGCCACAGCCGAGGGTGTCTGTGTGGACATGGGACGCAGGGCTTGTGTGCTGAGGACTCCCTGGGTTCCGACAGTGCTCCTGGCCTGCTGTGCTGGGATTCCCCGGACCCCGACAGTGCTCCTGGGCCTGGCACCTGGCGAGGCTCAGGGAACCCTATGGGGTTCTGGGGCTTGAACCCAGGTCAGCCAGGTGCAAGGCCAGTGCCCGCCCACTGTGTTGGAGAGGGAAGAGAGAGAGGGAGGAAGGGAGAGAGATGGAGAGAGGGAGAGACAGGAAGAGGAAGAGCGAGAGATGTCATTTTATGGGGAAGGAAATGAAACAAACCCAGCGAGACGCACTCGCAGGCAGATGAAAGCAACCCCGGGGACTGCCCAGGCTGGAAACTGTGCCCCAGGGTTGCCAATATGCAAGGCAAATGCCCTCCCTGCTGTCCCATCGCTCCAGCCCACAAAAAATGGTCAAAAAAACAAGAAAACTGTAAGTTGTTCAGTCACGGTCTTCCTGTTGTTCATCGATTTGCTCGAGCGGGCCCAGTAACATTGTGAGTCTTGTTGTGACTGTGTTTGGCATCTCGAATACGTCACGGGGAGCTTGCCAGGCTCTGCCGAGCGGGCGAGATACTCTCGCTAGCTTGCCGGGCTCTCCGAGAGGGGAGGAGGAATCGAACCCGGGTCGGCCAAGTTGGCTGCATGCAAGGCAAACGCCCTACCGCTGTGCTATCGCTCCAGCCCCAAGTTGGTAATGATACCAATCTTTTAATGTTTCTCTGAGTTTCCCCTAAACATGTTTTTTTTTTTTGGTTTTTGGGTCCCACCCGGCGATGCTCAGGGGTTCCTCCTGGCTCTGCACTCAGGGATTACTCCTGGCGGTGCTCGGGGGACCCTATGGGATGCCGGGAATCGAACCCGGGTCGGCCACATGCAAGGCAAACACCCTTCTGCTGTGCTATTGCTCCAGCCCCTAAACGTGACTTTCTTAACCCCTCAACGGACGGATTTTCATGGGTATTTTTTCTGGGAGCCAGTCCCCGTGCTATCTGCCTCTGCTCCCTCTCTGGGGCGTCACCTCACCTCCTGGAGGTCATTCCCGGACCCTGAGCACACAGACACCACAACGCCGACCTGCCCCAGCTTCTACGGCGAAGGGACTGCAACAACTCCAGCAACAAAACCAGCTTGCACAAAGCCGTCCCCTGGGAGCCCTGGCGCGTGCACAGGGGCCAGAGACGCCGACCTCGTCCCCGGCTGGGTTCCACGTCACCGGTCGGCGACAGAATCCACAAGCCGCGCCTTCCCTTGGGCTGCAGTCTCTGGCCCTGGACGGGCCCTGGACGCCACCACAGCCCCTGGACGCTGGACCCCGACGCCCCAGGCGCGGCCGCGTCCCCGGCTCTCACCTCTAGCAGCCCGTCCTCCGGAAGGTCCGTGCAGTGCACTGCATTCTGGATCTTGGTCTTCCCGAAGACGGCACGCAGGGTACCCGGGCGCAGGTGCCGGGCGATTTCCTGCAAAGCACAGCAAGTCCCCTCCAGGTCAGCGTCACTCGGGAGGGGGAAACGGCCCCAACCACCCGCTAGACTGGAAGACGGTCGTAAGGCAGGAGACGGCGCGGAGGGCATCTGCCTCGCACGCGGCTGACCTGGGTTCGATCCCCGGCATCCCCTGAGCCCTGTTGATGTCAGGGGCGGGGCACGGGGGGCTCCCGTGAGGTGGGGGAGGAGAGAGACGGTCACTCTCTCCCCATCCACCGCCTCTGCCACCGGGGACCCAGGGTTACTGGAATTTCAGGAGTAGAAAAGCAGAGAAGTGAAACCGTTTTATTTGGAGGTTTTGAAAGGGAAGGAGGGAGAGAGAGAGAGAGAGACAGAGACAGACGCTCAGGAGAGAACCTGGGCTTCTCCAGGGACCCCGACATCCACCCCAGCATTAGACAGGAAAGCATGAACGTCCCCATGGACACCACATGTGCTCGGTCACGTGGGCACGAGCAGCACATGGGCCGGCATATGTGTCCTTCTGTTTTTTTGCTTTTGGTCACACTGGCAATGCACTCCTGGCGGTGCTGGGGGGACCATATGGGATGCTGGGAATCGAACCCGGGTCGGCAGCATGCCAGGCCAATGCCCTCCCCGCGGTGCTATCGCTCGAGCCCCCGTCCAAGGTGGCTTCTCTAGGGTACCTTCTGGGGATGTTTTGGTCTAAAATGTTCTGAAGTCTTCCCTGGGCTGAGTCGCTACTGAAGTTAATTGGATGAAGGGAGGGGTCCGAGGTTATCCAGGGAACTTCCTTTATGGGGAGGGGGCCCATCTCCACGGGGTCCGTTGCTGGCGCCAGGTGAGGGTCTTATCAGGCCTGAGTTCTTGTTTGCTGCAAGGTTGGCTTTTGAAACTGCAGAGCTATGACTTCCTGGGAAATTTACTGCCATCGCCTGGGGAGGGGCCTTCCCTGCCTGCCTGTCTACCTGCATCAATGCCGGGAGGAAGCCCCAAGCTTTGGGGCCGGGAGTGGCCCCCAAACAAACAAATAAAACAATCCCACCAGTAAGGGGGGGGGGCAGTCCCTGGAAATGGCACAAAGGAATGAAACCCTGAGCACTGGGCATCCCGGTCAGCCAGGGCGGTTCTGGGAACTCAGCCCTGTGCTCCCCGCCCGACCTCATCTCTGCAATGGGCTTGGTACCCTTGAGAGCCAGAGCGAATGGACACCCAACCCTGACCTCCCCTCCCTGGAGGGCTCAGCCCAGGGAAGGGGTGAGGCATGGCCACCCTCAAATCCTCACGCCCTCAAATCCTCACGGGGGCAGGGGAGGGGATTCAATCCCCAACCCCCACCCTCCAACCCCAGGAGTCAAAGGCCCAGATGTGAAGTGTCCTGGCCTCAGGGAGGCGTCTCTGGGCTCATCCCGGCCCCCCCAGTCCAAACAGCTGCCACAACCAGCTCCCCCTAGAAAACGCTGGAGCCCCCTGGGTCCCCCCCACCCCCCCGGTGGGCCAAGGTCCCCCCGGCTGCCAATGCTTCTGTTTCTCGGCATTCTGCGGGGGCGGGAGACGGTTCCTGGCACTCTGACGGCAGACACGGATGCCTGGGGACCAGGCAGGGCGGACTGCAAACCCCAGCTTCAATTTTTAATAGGGAATCCATCGTTGGGGGAACGGTGGAGACTTTGAGAAAAGATTTATTGGGCTGGAGCGACAGCACAACGGGGAGGGCGTTGGCCTGGCACGCGGCCGACCCGGGTTCGATCCCCGGCATCCCACAGGGTCCCCCGAGCACCGCCAGGAGTGATTCCTGAGTGCAGAGCCGGGAGTCAGCCCTGAGCATCGCCGGGTGGGACCCAAAAAAGCAAAGAAGAAAGAAGGAAGAAAGAAACGTGGGGGAGGGGAACCACCCTTTGGCCTTGCAGAATCTCAGTTCTCCTGAGGGTCGGCCAGAGCCAGCACAGGGCACACGAGTGCCGAGGGCCGGGGGTCTGGCACCAACCCCGCCTGCCTCCTCCCCCCCTCTCTTCCTGAAACATCCGGCGAGGGATGCTTTGTTCCCACGGCCCCTGCACCCACTGGGCCCAGCGTCGGGGTCTGTGTGGCTCCTTATCCCGACTGTCATCTCCAGCTTCTGGCAACAAAGTCGGAAAATCCTTGTGCCAGATGCCCTCTTGGAGGCACTCGGAATGTTCTAGAATACGGCGGTGGGGAACCTGCCCCCCATGGCCTTGCTCCATTTCAGCCCCTCTGATCTCACTGTGGTCACCGATTCCACGGCACAGGCGGAGGGGTGGATGTTGGGGGTCGCTGGCCGCTGGGAGGGTGCAGCCGAGGGAGTTGGGGGTGCTGGGACCCTCCCAGTTCTCAGGGGGGTGGGGTTGTGTAGGGTAACATTGCTTTGTCTTTCCACAAGAAGCTTAGGTTTATCTGGTTACACCCATTAATCTGGTTACACCCATCACAGTGCTCCAGAGGCACTTCCACTTCCATTGTGTTTATCTGTAAACAGTCTTCCCTATGCTCTCCTTCCCACCCAGTTAATTAGCTTTCCCCTTAATCAGACTCTGTTAATTTGTAAGGTCAGTTTCCCAGAAATCTTTGATTTTATATGAATGAGTGAAATGTTGCCTTTCTCCTCTCCTTATGCCTTATGAACAGTTTACCTTAAAGTAATATCCTTTTTGTATAGATACAGGAAGACCGTTAACATCATGCTTTGTAATTTAGGATTTGATTGGCCTTGAATATTATTCACTCCCGGGCATCTGCTTTCTCGACTTAAGCCTCAGTTGCCCTTAGTTCCTAACACCCCAAAAGCAGGGTCCCGACGAGGGACTGACTGGACCCAGGGCAAGCGGTGAGCTACCCTGGCAGCGAAATGGGCCAGGCCAAAGTGCCACGATTCTTAACTATAAATTAAGAGTTTGATCATAGACAAATGCTGTCATGATCCAAAGGTAACGACGAGACTAGGATCCTGCTAGGGGTGGGAAAGACTATCTGGCCTGAGCACTGTAGTCTGAGATCAAGATGGCCCTAGAGAGCAATTCTATAAGTTTAAGATATTTCTTACTGTATCCATACAAAATGATTTATATTATATATGCTTATATGCTTGTCGGACAAGGAGAGGAGAGGCATACCCATGGGATTATGCTCTAGGGTGGGTCCTCCTGCTGAGAGAGGATCTGTCTTAGGAGCGGCCTTCCCTGAGGCTAAGATTTCTACCCCTATTGATTTCTACCCCTATTGATTGTGACCGCACCTATGTGTGATTGTTTCCCCAGTTCCTCTTGGAGAGATATAAGGAGACTGTGGAGCAGAGACAGAAGCAGAGACAGACAAGAGAGACTGGTGTAGATGGAGAGAGAAATGGAATCAACTGCGACTAATACCTACCAGCCTGGCCCTCGTTTCCTTCCTCCGCCTGACCACTGCCATCGACCTCCCCGGGGCAGGAGAAGGGTAAGACTACCGAACGCGGGCGGCGGGAGACATAGAGCCACCGCCGCTGTGTGCCGTGCCCCCCCAACCTTGTGTGAGTTTACACAGGGCTGAGCATGGGGTGGGGGCGCCCTGGGCAGTGCTGGCCCCCGAGAGCTTCTTCAGTGATGTCTGCAGCCACCACACCTGCCCATTTCCTACGTGCCCCGCCCAAGTGTCCCCACTCCGAGCAACCCATCAGGGTCACACGGGGGCAGGGGCTAGGGGCCAATCGTGGCAGGCTCCCCGGCAGTGGTGCCAGGGTCTCCTGGCTACAGCGTTAGCTGGTCCCCGAACCAGCTGGATTTCCGCCCCACCCGGCTCCTAACACTTTGGTGGTCGTTTCCCTGTCGCCATCCCGGGTCCCCACTGATGGATCCCTCCCCACGCCTCGGAACCCTCCAGAACAGCCGCTCCCGCCGAGCCCGGGCCCAGAGCGAGCCTGGGGGACCTGAGTGAGCAGCCAGGCGGCAAGGCGGGGACGGGATCAAAGCGAGACGCAAAGACCCGGGAGACCCAAATTCAGTCAGAGCCGATGGACGCCGGAGGGGCGGAATTTAGACGCGACTAAATCAAAGGGGCGGCCCCCACCCACCCCCAGTCCCAGCTTCTCCTCTGGAGAGCAAACGGCTATTTATAGGCCCGAAATGTAAATCGAGGGCCTGGCCAAGGGACGGATGGACGGGAGGATGTGCGGCTGGCTTTTGTCATCACCCGCCCGCTGATCAACCCAGCTCCCCGCCCAGACCAGGCCCTGCCGGCCCCCAGCACGGCCCGGCCCACCTGCAGGCGGCACCCAGGGGCGGCGGGAGCCTCTGGCTGGGAGCTGATGACTTGCATTGTGCGCGCCCGCGGGCCACGTGCGCCTTGGAGTCACAGGCAGGGCCCCCACTCACCGCCAGACGGGGCAAACAAACGCTCTCTGCAGCCAAAGGGGGCCCTACCCCTGGGGGACCCCTTGCCCCTTGGGGACCCCCTACTCCTTGGGGCCGCCCTGCCCCTCAGGGACCCTCCTTACCCCTTGGGGCCCCTCCACCCCTCAGGGCCTCCCTTAGCCCTCGGGGACCCCCTTACCCCTTGGGGACCCCCTTACCCCAGGGAACCCCCTACCCCTGGGCCCCCCCCTCACCCCTCGCAGCGTGCAAGACCAATGAGGTCGTGGGGGGCACCCACAAGCTGGCGCTATTCCACGCAGAGCCGTTCTCCTGCCTTCCCGTTTCAGAATTAAAGGGGGAGGGTCTTTGGGGAGACCCCTCCTGGCGCCTGCCCTCACGGGCACCGGGTCAGAACCTGAGCTGGGCTGTGGGGGCGCCGGTGCTGGAACTGCCTCACCCCCGAGGCCAGGCGGACAAGCGGCTGGCCAACTGCCTACGGAAGCCCCCACATGGCCGGGACCCAGAGACACACACACACGAACCTCGGGCCCGAGCGACTTGCTGCAGCGACCTCTCCAGAGCCCAGTCATTAAAATCTTAGGATTCCTAGATTTATACTGCATCCGTAACGAGCAATACAGGACGCACTGTCTAGCAGGGCCCTTTTCGGCAGGTGTGAGGGGTGGTGGGTCTGGCCACGGGACGTCGAAGGCAACGAAAGTAGGGAGAGGGCGAGTATTGTGCAAAATGTCCGCCACACAGGCAGGGGGAGGTGTGGAAGGGGTGGGGGGTGGGAGGGGATACTGGGGACCATGGAGGTGGAAAGCGGGCACTGGTGAAGGGATGGGTGTTGGATGACTGTTCGATCGAAGCTCAAACACGAGAGCTTCCTTACTGCACCTCATGGTGAATCACTCACTGTCACTGTCCTCCCGTTGATCATCGATTTGCTCGAGCGGGCCCAGTAACGTCTCCATTGGAGACTTTGTTGTTACTGTGTCTGGCATATCGAATACTCTCGGTAGCTTGCCGGGCTCTCAGAGAGGGGCGGAGGAATCGAACTCGGGTCGGCCATGTTGGCTGCGTGCAAGGCAGACGCCCTACTGGTGAATCAATTAAAAAAAATAATAAAAATAAATAAATAAATAGGGGCTGGAGTGACAGCACAGCGGGGAGGGCGTTTGCCTTGCACGCGTGGCCAACCCGGGTTCGATCCCCAGCATCCCACAGGGTCCCCCGAGCACCGCCAGGAGTGAGTCCTGAGTGCAGAGCCAGGAGGAACCCCTGTGCTTTGCCGGGTGTGACCCAAAAAGCAAACAAACAAACAGACAAATAAATAAATAAATAAATACAAGCGTCTTCCCAGCACCTCCCCCCCCCACGGGAAATCGAGGCAGTTCCCTCGCCTCAGCCGATGCCAGCTCCATCCCCCGCACCCCACAGGGTCCCCGAGCCCCCACCAGGAGTGACCCCTGAGTGCAGAGCCCAGAGTAGCCCTGAGCCCACTTGGGCATGGCCCAAGGCCTCCCCACAGCCCCCCAAGAGTCTGATGAGCGTAAAGGTGGAGGGAGGCGGTTAGGCCCGGGAGTGACTGAACTCTAACCTGAATCTCATCCTTCATAGCTACAACCACTTTTTTTTTTTTACTTTTTGGGTCAGGGCTGGAGCAGTAGCATTGGGGGTAGGGCGTTTGCCTTGCACGCGGCCGACCCAGGTTCGATTCTTACGTCCCTCTCAGAGAGCCAGCAAGTTACCGAGAGTAATCGGCACGCACGACAGAGCCTGGCAAGTTCCCTGTAGCGTATTCGAGATGCCGAAAACAGTCACGACAAGTCTCACCATGGAGACGTTACTGGTGCCCACTCGAACAAATCAATGACCAACGGGAGGACAGTGCTACAGTGCCGTGATGTCAGGGATTCTTCCTGGCTCTGCACTCAGGAATCACTCTTGGTGGTGCTTGGGGGATGCTATAAGATGCTGGGGATCGAACCCGGGTTGGCCACATGCCAGGCAAACGCCTTCCTTGCCGTGCTATCGCTCCAGCCCCTACAACCGCTTTTTAAGGGAAGAAGAATCAGAATCCCTCCCTTTTTCGAAAAGCCCGTTTCCCCAAGAACTCAGCAAAATTCGGACCCTGTATGTGTGCAAGTCCGGGTTCAATTCCTGGCACCGTGAACACAAACAGACAAAAGCTAGATGATTCAATTTGAAAAAAGAAAAAAAAAATCCATCCCCGAAGAAAATAAGTAAAATTCTCAGCATCTGGCTTGTCAAATTGAATTACAGCTCCTTGATTTTCTGGAAAATATTGCTACGAAGTCAGTAATGTTATATTTGAATCGGACGTTGTTTGGCTTGTCACGAAAAAAAGCAGAAAATATTCTTCACGGGGCAGTTAGACGTCAACCCCTCCGTGACCTGCTGGCATTTCATGTTCTCCTAGCCAAGGCCTTCTCTTCGGCGATATGTTTCTGAGCAGAAGAAACCCAAGACACATAATGACTCTGAAACGGAGGGGTTTTCTTGCCTACCTCTGAACAATGACACTAATTGCGCTTACAGGCAATAACACTTACAGGCCGCCAGTCTTCAGAAAAATAAATCTTATCTTTGGCCGGGGTGCTTCATCAAGCATTTACTCTGCTGTGGAAAGGCATCCGGGCCTATTACAAATGTGGAAAACGGCGCCAGCGTGGGCAGGGTCATGTTGGAAGGAGATAGAGGCTGACCTGGGAGGGGCCGATCAGGCAAATACAGAGCCCCCCCACCCCCCCGACACACACGCACTCCCAGTGTAGTGGTCAGACCCCCAGATCCAGCCCTGGAAAGGGCTCAAGGGGGAACCCAAATTCCATGAACTGATTATTTTTTGCAGGGGGGGTGGGTCCCACCCGGCGATGCTCAGGGCTGACTCCTGGCTCTGCACTCAGGAATCACTCCTGGCGGTGCTCAGGGGACCCTATGGGATGCCGGGAATCGAACCCGGGTCGGCCGCGTGTAAGGCCAACGCCCTGCCCGCTGTGCTATCGCTCTGGCCCCCATGTCCTGCTCTTCAAAACAAATTCCTGCCTAGTTTACAGTCCCGCAATTATAATGCAAAGAACCGCAAACACCCAGTGGGGCTGGACAGGGAACTGCCAGGTCGAACCCAACGCACACTTACGGGGTCGGCAGGTCCGCAGAGCTCCCGGAAGGTCTTGGCGGGGTCCTTCTGCTGGACCTCCAGGGCCACACAGGGGCCAGCACACAGCTCTGTCACCATGTCCTGAGGGCAGAGCATTGGAGGTGACAATCAACAGAAGAGAATCACTGTGTTCCCTTGTCTGACCTGGGAGGAATCACACTCAGGAGTGCTCGGGGCTGACTCCTGGCTCTATGCTCTGGGGTCACTCCTGGCTGGGCTCCGGGGACCCCATGAGAGCGCCTTAAGCCCTGCGTGCCCCCTTTCCATGGCTGAAGATCACACGAAGTTCAGCTGTACTTCCTCCCTAGGGCCAGCAGTGCCCAAGGCCACCTGTGTGTCCAGTGTGGTGAGTGAGGGCAAGACGGGACCAGGTCACACAGGCACCTGGACGGGCCAAGTGGGGCTTCCAGGGGCCTCAGAGTGGGCAGGGCACATGATGACCGCGTGAAATGATGGCCAGTGATTCCAGAACGTTTACTTAATTTAATAATAATTATTATTATTGGCTTTTTTGTGCCACACCCGGAGATGCTCAGGGCTGACTCCTGGCTCTGCACTCAGGAATCACTCCTGGTGGTGCTTGGGGGATGCTGGGAATCGAACCCGGGTCGGCCGCGTGCAAGGCAAACGCCCTCCCCGCTGTGCTATCGCTCAGGCCCAACACTGTCCTTGGAAAAGAAACGGGCCCAGAGATAACAACGGCTCAGCCCACAGCCTCAGCGGGAGCTGGCCCAGCCGGGATCCTTTCAAGCTCACAGGTCAAGCGGAGGCACCCCGAGGTCTGAGACGCAACCTGTCCCCTCCCTCCCCAAGGGCTTCCGTACTTACCTTATACTCAGACACGACTCCTTTGTAAACTTCGTAGAACTCTTCGACGTTCGCCCGATCCATGTTGAACTGGTTTGAAACACACACACACACACACACACACACACACACACAGAGTCAACCAACGTAAAGCACCAAGAGACCTCCCCCCCCCTCCGCCATTATGATCTCCCGGACACGGTCCTTTATGGTGGCAACCAGGTAAAGACGCAACACTCCCGGGGGAGCACTGTTAAGAGAGCACCCAGGAAGGGGCTGAGCAACAAAAACAGGGAGCAGGAATGGCACGCGCCAACTCCCAGCTCCCTGGCTGGCCCGTCCTTCAGGGCCCGGGGTTCGATTCTTCCCCTTCTGAACTCTGTGCCACCCTCCAGGGCATTAACTAAGCCAGAAGCCCTCGGCCGTGCCCTGAAACCCAGATTTGGGGGTGGGGGCCCTAACACGTCTATGAAATCAAGCGCTGTTGGGTAAAAAAAGCACATAACTTCAGGGTCGGAGCCGTAGCACAGTGGGGAGGGCGTTTGCCTTGCACGCGGCCGACCCGGGTTCAATCCCCAGCATCCCCTAGGGTCCCCCGAGCACCGTCAGGGGTGATTCCTGAGCGCAGAGCCAGGAGTCAGCCCTGAGCATCGCCGGGTGGGACCCAAAAGGCCAAAAATTTAAAAAAAAATTGTATTTCTAAGCATGAAATAACATTTCGGCTCACATTCATTTTTCACAAGGAAAGTTCCAGGAACTCTGGAGACCTACTTCAGGGGCTGAAATTGGTTGTACCCTGTGAGCATGAGTTTGCTCGGGGAAAGAGCACCCGGGCACAGATCATTTCCCAAATGTCATCTGATTGGAAAATTGGCAGGTCCGGGCCACTTCCATCTGTAATGAGGGCATGAGAGCCCAGAGAAACGCCGATGCAAAACGTTTTAGAGCTCGCGGGGCCCCAAACCAGCGCCCGAGAACACGGTGACTCACCGCCCCGAGTACCCACCATCTGCATGGCTGAGACCTCGAAGCCGGCGTCCCGGATGGCCACGAGAATCTTCCCCAGGAGCCCTGGCAAAGTCAGAACACAGGGAGGACGCTTCAATCTGATGCTTTGCTTTTTCTTTTTTTCTTTTTGAGTCACACTTGGCGATGCTCAGGGGTTCCTCCTGGCTCTGCACTCAGGAATCACTTCTGGCCATGCTCGGGGGACCCTAGGGGATGCTGGGAATCGAACCCGGGTTGGCTGCATGCAAGGCAAACGCCCTCCCTGCTGTGCTATTGCTCCGGCCCCTGCTTCTTAGAAAAACGCACATGATTTCCGCCGCTCCCAAAGCATCTGGGGAAGCGCTGTGTCCCCCTCGCCAGCTGGTGACCGGAGCCCCCATTCGACCCGGCCAGCTAAGGCGCTCAGGAAGTGGTACGGGGGGGGCAGCAAAGAACATTCTGGAGATGGCGTAAAAGAGACCATTCAAAGGGCTGGAGCCATAGCACAGCGGGTAGGGCGTTTGCCTGGCACACGGCCAACCCGGGTTCGATTCCCAGCATCCCCTAGGGTCCCCTGAGCACCGCCAGGAGTGATTCCTGAGTGCAGAGCGAGGAGTCAGCCCTGAGCATCGCCGGGTGGGACCCAAAAAGAAAAAAAAAGGGACTGGGCAAGACTGTGGCCTCAGCTCTGCTCGCTCCAGATGTAACCCTGGTGGCCATGAGCTCCCAGATCTGCTCGCTCCAGATGTAACCCTGGTGGCCATGAGCTCCCAGAAGCAAAACCCAGGCATGCGGGTTCCAGGACTGACACTCCAGGCTCACACGGTTGTGGCGGAGACTAGCCATCCCTCCCGGTCTCCCCCGCCCACTGGGGGTCCTGGCTGTGACGCCCACGATCTGCCTCTGGGTGCCATCTCGGCCCATCAACGGCCTTGAGCCGGAGACTCCCAAAGGAATCTCAGGATGGATCAGCTCCCACAGGAATGTCTCTGGGCCCCGACCATTCACGATTTTGGGATTCCAGAAGCACACGGCCGCTTTTGTGGCCGCGCGACCTCTCGTGCTATTCAGAAGCAACAGAAAATAAATTATCGCATCTGCCCCAGGCAGACAGGCTTGAATGGTTGTGGGAAGGTGTCACAGTGTCATGGTGGTGGGGTTGGTGTTGAAATTCCAAATGCCATCAATGAATGGGAACAAACTTATGGAAATAAATTTTTTTTAAAAAAAAAAGGGGACTGGAGGGCGTTTGCCTTGCATGCAGCCGACCCGGGTTCAATCCCCGGCATTCCATAGGGTCCCCTAAGCACAGCCAGGAGTAATTAATTCCTGAGTGCATGAGCCAGGAGAAACCCCTGAGCATCGCCGGGTGTGACCCCAAAGGCAAAAAAAACAAAAACAGAAACAAAAAAGACCGTGGCCCCGAAGCCCTCGTCCTCTCGGTGTAAGAGACCGTGCACACGCAGACAGTCCCACACTCTAGAAAACGTGCTTTGTCAGGAGTTGCTGGGCGGGGGGGACAGGAAGTGGGTAGAAGCCGGGGCAGGTGGGGGGGTGCAGCGCGGACCCCGACAGGACACAAAACTGGGGCGTGGGCGAGGGCCCCAGGACAGCGCCAGGCAGAGACGGTGGTGGCCAGCGTCAACCCCACCCCCTGGCCAAGGAGCTGCGGGGACCAGCCCGCCCAGACGGTGGGGGGCCGGCTCGAGGGTCAGCCCCTGTGAGGGTGATGGCACTGGGGCGACACGGGGCTTCTGGGGGTCTGGCAGTGAAGCCCTCGCTGCCTGCACCCTTCGGCTTTATGATTTCTGCCGAGAGACATTTGTGCCATGAAGAGGCTGGAAGTCAGCGTGTGCTTCACCGTCGGACCCCCAGGGAGCCCCTCACAGGGGTTGACCCCGGGGCCATCCTACCCGCCCATCTTCTGGGATTCCCACTGACTCCTGACTCCAGCTCAGGGCTGACTCCTGGCTCTGTGCTCAGGGCTCACTCTAGACTGTGCTCAGGACTCACTCCCGGCTCTGTGCTCAGTGGGACCGCCCAGGACAGTGGGACATCCCAGCCCCTCTCAGGAGTCCCCCCTTCCCTCCTCCCCCCCTCCCTCCTCCCCCCTTCCCGCCTCCCCCCTTCCCGGCTCTGTATGGCCCTGAGCACACAGGGGAGATCAGGATCGAGACGAACAGATTGTCCCCGCAGCCGCACTGACTCAGCGGGTGATTTATTGGCGGCAAAGCGTAGAGGCTTGTCGGGGGAGAGGCGAGTCCTCCGAGTGCCAGAACCGGAGCTGACTCTGCCACCTGATCCCATCTCGCACCGAGCGTTGGACACAGCCATACGCCCCGGGGGCTGCGCATCACGCAGGACTACGCAACCGCCGTCCTTAACGGTGCTGACCAGAATCATCTGAGCCGGTGCGGGGGCTGCAGAAACGGCCCAGCAGGGAGGCGCTTGCCTTGCACCTGAGTAATCGGGGCTCGGCACCAGCATCCCATATGGTCCCCGAGCACAGAGCCAGGAGTCATTCCTGAGCACAGAGCCGGGAGTCAATCCTGAACACCGCTAGCAGTGATTCCCGAGGACCCCTAGGAGCGATTCCTATACACTGAGCCAGGAGTCAGCCCTGAGCACGGAGCTGGGAGTCAGCCCTGAGCACTGCCAGGAGTCAGCCCTGAGCACCGACAGGTGAGGCCCCTGAAATTTCAAACTGATCCTCTTTAAGCATATAAGATCATCCCTAATGAAACTGGTCTTATTTTGAGATCCGCCCTCATTTATATACTAGTCGATTTTCTTAGATTTCAGCTACCTTTTTGCAGAAACTATAGTTTTGTTCTCTAATTTTATTTCCTCTTGACAGGAAGCATGCACGATTTTGTCCTTGTGGAAAAGAGACAATTCACTGAAGATCCAACCGAAACTATTTAACAGGCTGCAGAGAAACTGCCTGTGAAATCGGTTTATCGGAAAGAATCTGACTTTCGCGGTGAAACGCGTGTGTTTGCGTATCTTACACTTTCTGGCGGGGGTGTTGGGCTACACCTGGCTGTGGAGGCAGAGGGGAGGGGAGGGGAGGGAGGGGAGGGGAGCGGCCGCCGTCCCAGTCCCACACTCACCTCCGCTGACGGCGTGGGGCTTGACGATGCCGCAGGTGCAGTCCGTGAAGCGGGCCGTGTTGGCGGGGCCGCAGACGCCCGTGGAGGGGAAGAACAGCTCCATCTCCTGGGACGAGACGGGGGTGGGTGGGTGGGACTGAGGACCCCTCTGGAGGCGGGAGGGGGTTGTGGGCAGGCCGGGGGGGGCGGCTGGCACCAGGCCTTCGCCCCGAGGAGTCAGAATCCGGTTCCCGTTGACAAAACCCCTCACGGGACATTCAAGGACATTCCAGAAAGACGGACGTTCAGAATCACCCAGGGGTGGGGGCGGGGGGCGGGCACCGTCCTGGGGCGGCCCTGGACGGGGGTCAGTGGCAGCCTCAGCGCAGCGAGGGGACCAAGCGCATTTTCTGGGGCTGGAGCGCACGACAAATGGGCGGGACCCGGATACGGTCCCTGAGCACAGCGCCAGGAGTCAGCCCTGAGCACTGCTGGGTGTGGCCCGGAGACAGATAAAAAGGAGGGGGGGGAGGAAGAGGAGGAGGAGGAAGAAGAGGGGGGCCGGAGCGATAGCACAGGGCGACGCTAAGCGCTGGAAGGTTCCACGTCCGCTTCAACCTATTCTCTGGCCATTTATAACCCCCCCCCCCCCCACACACACACACACACATGCACGCACGCGCGAGGACCCTCTTCTCTCGTGCTCAGGGTTTGAAAATGAGGGTGTCACGTCCTCGGCCACTCCACTCACACGCCGAATAATGATTTAAGGCAAAGAGTAGGAAGATTGATGCTTTTTTTCCCTCTTTCCCTCGAAATTGATCTCCCTAGCGAACCAATTAATTCGACTTCAGGCCCTGCCGCGGCCTGAAGCCAGGTGAGCTCCCAGAAGCACCCCGCGGGGCCAGCTCTGGGGCGCACCCGGGACGCAGAGGCAGCCAGGGTGCAATGAGGGAACAGCTCAGGGTCCACCCCCCCCACCCCCCCACCCCAGCTCCCAAAGCAACGCGGAAGCCTCTCCAAGAATCTCTGAATCGCCGTCAGGGAAGCGAAGAGACTCGCAGGCCAGAGACACAGGACCGAGGGCAGGGCACTGGCCTGCATGTGGCGACCCGGGTTTGATCTCGGCATCCTATATAGTCCGAGCACAGAGCCAGGAGTCAGCCCCGGGCACAGAGCCGGGAGCCAGCCCTGACACAGGGCCGGGAGTCAGCCCCGGGCACAGAGCCGGGAGTCAGCCCCGGGCACAGACCCGGGAGTCAGCCCCGAGCACAGAGCCGGGAGTCAGCCCCGGGCACAGACCCGGGAGTCAGCCCCGGGCACAGAGCCGGGAGTCAGCCCCGGGCACAGAGCCGGGAGTCAGCCCCGGGCACAGAGCCGGGAGTCAGCCCCGAGCACAGAGCCGGGAGTCAGCCCCGAGCAGAGCCGGGAGTCAGCCCCGAGCACAGGGCCGGGAGTCAGCCCCGGGCACAGAGCCGGGAGTCAGCCCCAGGCACAGACCCGGGAGTCAGCCCCGAGCACAGAGCCGGGAGTCAGCCCCGAGCACAGAGCCGGGAGTCAGCCCCGAGCACAGAGCCGGGAGTCAGCCCCGAGCAGAGCCGGGAGTCAGCCCCGGGCACAGAGCCGGGAGTCAGCCCCGGGCACAGAGCCGGGAGTCAGCCCCGAGCAGAGCCGGGAGTCAGCCCCGGGCACAGAGCCGGGAGTCAGCCCCGAGCACAGAGCCGGGAGTCAGCCCCGAGCAGAGCCGGGAGTCAGCCCTGAGCAGAGCCGGGAGTCAGCCCCGAGCACAGAGCCGGGAGTCAGCCCCGAGCAGAGCCGGGAGTCAGCCCCGGGCACAGAGCCGGGAGTCAGCCCCGGGCACAGAGCCGGGAGTCAGCCCTGAGCAGAGCCGGGAGTCAGCCCCGAGCACAGAGCCGGGAGTCAGCCCTGAGCAGAGCCGGGAGTCAGCCCTGAGCAGAGCCGGGAGTCAGCCCCGAGCAGAGCCGGGAGTCAGCCCCAGGCACAGGGCCGGGAGTCAGCCCCGAGCACAGGGCCGGGAGTCAGCCCCAGGCACAGAGCCAGGAGTCAGCCCCGAGCACAGAGCCGGGAGTCAGCCCCGGGCACAGAGTCAGGAGGGGCCCCAGGCACAGAGTCGGGAGTCAGCCCCGAGCACAGAGTCAGGAGGGGCCCCGGGCACAGAGCCGGGAGTCAGCCCCGAGCACAGAGCCGGGAGTCAGCCCCGAGCAGAGCCGGGAGTCAGCCCCGGGCACAGGGCCGGGAGTCAGCCCCGAGCACAGAGCCGGGAGTCAGCCCAAAGCACAGAGCCAGGAGTCAGCCCCGAGCACAGAGCCGGGAGTCAGCCCCGAGCACAGAGCCGGGAGTCAGCCCCGGGCACAGGGCCAGGAGTCAGCCCCGAGCACAGAGCCGGGAGTCAGCCCCGAGCAGAGCCGGGAGTCAGCCCCAGGCACAGGGCCGGGAGTCAGCCCCGAGCACAGGGCCGGGAGTCAGCCCCGAGCACAGAGCCAGGAGTCAGCCCCGAGCACAGAGCCGGGTGTCAGCCCTGAGCAGAGCCGGGAGTCAGCCCCGAGCACAGAGCCGGGAGTCAGCCCCGAGCACAGAGCCGGGTGTCAGCCCTGAGCACCATGAGGTGTGTGTCTCCCCAAACAAGCAAAAAGGCCAAACCCCCCCAACGCCCAACCCCCCCCTCCCCCCGCCACCGCCATTTTTTCGCCCTCGAGATGTTCCTCCCTGAAATGCCCCCTGGGCTCCGCCCCGGAGTCAGCCCCGAGCACAGAGCCGGGAGTCAGCCCTGACACAGAGCCGGGAGTCAGACCCAAGCACAGAGCCGGGAGTCAGCCCTGAGCACAGAGCCGGGAGTCAGGCCCGAGCACAGAGCCGGGAGTCAGCCCCGAGCACAGAGCCAGGAGTCAGGCCTGAGCACAGAGCCGGGAGTCAGCCCCGGGCACAGAGCCGGGAGTCAGCCCCGAGCACAGAGCCGGGAGTCAGCCCCGGGCACAGGGCCGGGAGTCAGCCCCGAGCACAGAGCCGGGAGTCAGCCCCGGGCACAGGGCCGGGAGTCAGCCCCGGGCACAGGGCCGGGAGTCAGCCCCGAGCACAGAGCCAGGAGTCAGCCCCGAGCACAGAGCCGGGAGTCAGCCCTGAGCAGAGCCGGGAGTCAGCCCCGGGCACAGGGCCGGGAGTCAGCCCCGAGCACAGAGCCGGGAGTCAGCCCCGAGCAGAGCCGGGAGTCAGCCCCGGGCACAGGGCCGGGAGTCAGCCCCGAGCAGAGCCGGGAGTCAGCCCCGGGCACAGGGCCGGGAGTCAGCCCCGAGCACAGGGCCGGGAGTCAGCCCCGAGCAGAGCCGGGAGTCAGCCCCGAGCACAGAGCCGGGAGTCAGCCCCGAGCACAGGGCCGGGAGTCAGCCCCGAGCACAGGGCCGGGAGTCAGCCCTGACACAGAGCCGGGAGTCAGCCCCGAGCACAGGGCCGGGAGTCAGCCCCGAGCAGAGCCAGGAGTCAGCCCCGGGCACAGGGCCGGGAGTCAGCCCCGAGCACAGAGCCGGGAGTCAGCCCCGAGCAGAGCCGGGAGTCAGCCCCGAGCACAGAGCCGGGAGTCAGCCCCGAGCAGAGCCGGGAGTCAGCCCCGGGCACAGGGCCGGGAGTCAGCCCCGAGCACAGGGCCGGGAGTCAGCCCTGACACAGAGCCGGGAGTCAGCCCCGAGCACAGGGCCGGGAGTCAGCCCCGAGACAGGTCGGTTTGATCGGGCCCCATTTTCCGTTTTCACATTTCAGTCACTTTCCCCCAGATTAAGGCCCCGACTCGATCATGTAAGACTCAAGTGGACAAAACGTTTCCAAAAACAAATAATTTTCCCAAATCATGAAACCGGCAGCGGCACCTTGGAAGCGTCTCACCCCGACAATCCCTGCGGTTCTCTGGCCGGAGCTTCCTGCCAAATCGCCGGGACGCGGCGGGTCTCGGTGCCGCCGGGGAAGCCCCTCCCCGACCCGCCACCCACAATCCCCGGGGGCCGCGTTGTCGCAGATGCCCTGGGACCTTCTCCCCCTGCTTCCCCGCAGATCCCCGCCATCCCAGAGGGTCCCGAGCACCGCCGGGCACAGAGTCAGGAGGGGCCCCGAGCACAGAGCCGGGAGTCAGCCCCGAGCACAGAGCCGGGAGTCAGCCCTGACACAGAGCCGGGAGTCAGCCCCGAGCACAGGGCCGGGAGTCAGCCCCGAGCAGAGCCGGGAGTCAGCCCCAGGCACAGAGCCGGGAGTCAGCCCCGAGCACAGAGCCGGGAGTCAGCCCCGGGCACAGAGCCGGGAGTCAGCCCCGGGCACAGAGCCGGGAGTCAGCCCCGGGCACAGAGCCGGGAGTCAGCCCCGGGCACAGAGCCGGGAGTCAGTCCCGGGCACAGAGCCGGGAGTCAGCCCCGAGCACAGAGCCGGGAGTCAGCCCTGAGCACCGCGAGGTGTGTGTCTCCCCAAACAAGCAAAAAGGCCAAACCCCCCCCCCAACGCCCAACCCCCCCCCTCCCCCCGCCACCGCCATTTTTTCGCCCTCGAGATGTTCCTCCCTGAAATGCCCCCTGGGCTCCGCCGGGAGTCAGCCCCGAGCACAGAGTCGGGAGTCAGCCCCGAGCACAGAGCCGGGAGTCAGCCCCGGGCACAGAGCCGGGAGTCAGCCCCGAGCACAGAGCCGGGAGTCAGCCCCGAGCACCGCGAGGTGTGTGTCTCCCCAAACAAGCAAAAAGGCCAAACCCACCCCCCCCCTCCGTTTTTCCGCCCTCGAGATGTTCCTCCCTGAAATGCCCCCTGGGCTCCGCCCTGGAACACTGACACAGTGATCACAGCCGCCCGCGTCCTCAACGCCATGACTTGGTCACTCAGGAAACCGAAGCCCCTTCTACAGCGTGTGTGTGCGCGTGTGTGTGTGTGTGTGTGTGTGTTTTCGGGAGGGCACACGTGGCAGTGCCCGGGCCGACTCCTGACTCTGTGCTCAGGAATGACTCCAGGTTCTGTGCTCAAAGATCAACCAGGTTCTGTGCTCAGGGCTGACTCCCGACTCTGTGCCCGGGGCTGACTCCCGGCTCTGTGCTCAAAGATCAACCAAGTTCTCTGCTCAGATCTCTCTCACGATTCTGTGCT